CAACAATAATAGCCATAAAGTACAGATGGTCTAATTGCCGTAACTTAAAACTTGACTTTTTAGTTTGTATGTTCCTTGCAATCACGACTCCAACACTTCTCTTCTTCATTCGACCACTCTAATCTTATTATTACATCCTTTTAAGTCTTCATAACTTATTCACTGAACTTAATAGCCTAAAACAAACACATCTTGGGGGAAAAATAATAATATATGATGTCTAAAATGATATCCTATGGATTCCATAATTATTTTACTAAATTTAAAGCATTTGATTAAGAGGTCTGATTACATTGAATTACTTATAATCTTCACTTATAAGTTGTCTTCTAGGCTGCTACAAGATATTGTACTGCTGCAATAGCATACTTTTCTTAGACCTGCTGTACTTTTTTTGCATCTTACTAATCATAAATCAGAAACTTACATCTTAATTGATGCTGTCTCTGCAGGTGAATGGTGTTGCTCAACTGCATAGTGATATCTTAAAGGCAGAATTATTTGCTGATTATGTTTCTATCTGGCCTACTAAATTTCAGAACAAGACGAACGGTATAACTCCTCGTCGATGGATCAGGTTTTGCAATCCTGAGCTCAGTCATATAATCACCAAATGGTTGAAGACAGATCAATGGGTGACTAACCTGGACCTACTTGTAAATCTTCGGCAAGTATGTATCAAGATATTCCCGAAATCTTGCGTTATTTTTTCAACTGAAAGTCTTGTGGTTCGATTAATTTGCTTGTTGACTTTATTTTCCACAAGTTTGCTGACAATCCAGACTTGCATGCTGAGTGGGAATCTGCTAAGTTGGCCAGCAAAAGGCGGTTAGCGCAATATGTACTGCATGTGACTGGTGAGAGCATTGACCCAAACAGTCTCTTTGATATACAAGTCAAACGCATCCATGAATACAAGAGGCAGCTGCTAAATATTTTGGGAGCAATCTATAGGTACAAGAAACTGAAGGTGAGACAATCTACTTTGCATTACAATGTAGTCTTTTATGAGAACTTTTCTTTTGTAAATTAATTATTGTACACAGTGGTACTTATCCGTTTTCTCTGTTAACTTCAATTTGCCATTATTTAACATCTATTAAGCTTTGTTATCGCATGCCAGATACTAAGCGCTTGTAGCTCTCTGAAATTAATATTGTTGTCATTTCTGGGCATCATCCAAATAACACATTATTCAATTATCTTACATAGCAGTGTCCATAGAGTAGACTTATTATAAAACTTTAGGTCAGCTACAGGAATTTGCCCCAGGCCTGTGATGTATCTCACCATTACAACTACTACCAAACTTTAGACCATGTTAAGTTTGGTGTACCTCTCCCTCTTCTAACCTGTTCCTCTGGGATCTCATGACTTCTAACTTTAGATCTCTGCATGAATCTTCCAACCACCTAAGTCCTGCTTCTCTTAATTTATCCTCAACTGGTCTCACTCCACCTGTTGGGGCATATTCTTATTTCTTATTTTATTCATTCTAGTATATATGATCATGTAACCAACTTAAACATTTCTTAATAAAGGAATCATAACATTTTTAAATTGATAATTGCAGGAGATGAGCCCCGAGCAACGCAAAAATACAACACCACGCACCATCATGATTGGAGGAAAAGCCTTTGCAACATACACTAATGCTAAAAGAATAGTTAAGCTTGTAAATGATGTTGGTGCTGTTGTCAACACTGATCCGGAGGTTAATAATTTTTTAAAGGTAATTTGTAATTTCACTTTCATGTGTATAAAGGCTAAACCAAAGAGAACAAGAACTTTTATTAAAAATCTTTTGCATTAGTGAATCTTTTTCTTCTTATAATTCATTTAATATTGTTTGAGACACATTGTGATTTATAGAAATTCAGTAGGTGGCTTCCATTTTGCAGATGGTGTAAAATAATTACTTCTGTTCCTTCTTCATCATCAGTATATTAGCCTGGTCGTCTACTTTTGATTTAACTGAGGATATTTAGTTGGTCGTACTCAGCAATCTTACAATTATATTAGCTGGAAATAGTTACGATAGTGTTTTTCATGATCTGTAGACAAATGATGGTAAATCATTTGACTGTTAATTAAGCATGCTGTCCCTGTTATGTTGCATTGGGATCCAATAAACTAATTCTTAGTAGTCCTACACTTATATCATCAGTCGAGACATGCTTTTCAGTATGCTGTCTCATTTGGATTTGGTTTATACTGATAATGTGTTCTCCATCATTCTCAGGTAGTTTTTGTTCCCAATTATAATGTATCTGTAGCAGAGGTGCTTATTCCCGGAAGTGAGTTGTCACAGCACATCAGTACAGCAGGCATGGAAGCAAGTGGCACAAGCAATATGAAATTTGCACTCAATGGATGCCTCATTATAGGAACACTTGATGGGGCTAATGTGGAAATCAGAGAAGAGATTGGAGAGGAGAATTTCTTTCTTTTTGGTGCCACTGCAGATGAAGTTCCTCGCCTTCGTAAAGAAAGAGATAAAGGAACGGTAAAATCTTTCTATGTTCTGTAAACTTAAGCTTATTTAGAATGTAGCCATGGTAAATGACAATGATTTTTGGGTTTACGGTTCATTAGCTCTTGTTATCTTGGTAAAGAATGGTAAAGTTGTGTTTTATCTAGGGTAAATTTGTGTTTTATCTAGGGTTAATTATTTCTGTTATATATGCT